AAAATTAACGCTCATATAATCTTTGTATTCTATTCACGGCACCTCTATTAAAGGGTTTCTTCTCCTTGTCCCGAGGGTGTCCCCTTATGTAAGTTTCACTGTATTTATTGTATTTCCTTACTCACTTCTCAAATGCAAGTCATATCGAATTACAAGCAAGCTTAATCATAAACAGTATCAACCTAAAAAAGATTTAAGTGAAAATCCAATAAACCTGCTTCCATAGCCAATAATACCTCGTAGCATAGAATAAATACTACTTATGAGTAACCTTCTAAGCCCATTTTACCATAAAACGTCACGGAAATGACACGTTCATGTACGTGCCTATAAGCTTACAGCAAATCAATGAAGCTGATATGATAAACTAAAATTCGCGCACAAAAGTCCTTAATTTAGACGATATGGCGCGAGATACAGTATAAACTTGCTGAAATGAAGATTTGTCTACAAACCCAGACGGTGTCCGTGGAATACGATCACAGATCTCCATAATAAGTTGCCAATCTTCCGTGGTATTGAGCTCGCTTGTGGCTTTCTCTGTTGTAAAGGAAAAAGTCCACAGTCATCCAATGTTGTTGTCGATAAAATAAGCACCGAAAATACGATTTAACTTACCGACATCTTGGTCGTAGGGTGAAGAACTAGAAAATAGCGGCATTATAGCACTGGATTAGCTGTTTTAAAACATAAAATCAAGCATAAACTTTGTCGTAAATTCGTGATAAACTTCGCAATCTTTTACAGCATTCTGAAATATTATTGACCATGATGTCATTGCGGCCTTAGAATAAAGCGAGTTACCACTGGCCAGTAATATCGTCTGCTCAAAACGCCACAAGAACCTGGGTACGGGGGTACGGGGTCGGGTACGGGTTACATGGGTACATCCATGCATCCGGGATATGCTGAACAGCTTGGGGGTAAAACAGTATGTCTAATGCTTTTCTAACTTTAGGTTTTTTTTTTGCATATTGGGTAGATATTTTTATACCACTCAAACCCGCCGCCCCCCCCCCCCCCCCCCCCTGGCCAAGTGCAAGTGCGTTCACATAATTTGATAATAACGGCTAAACGACTAGGGTAAATTAATTATTAAAATTAAACTGCAATTTTGAAGTTTTTTATGGGTATATAGGAGACTGCGACGTCTCTATATGTGGGGAGGGAGTGAGGGACAGGGGTGCGGGAAGTCTACAGTAGGGTGTGAAGTGGGATTCGGTGATGTTAACCACGAGAAATAGTAAAACACATTGTAGTATTGTGTAACGTACTGCAAATAAAATATTATATAAAAAGCACAAAGATGGCGGGAACCACAACAGTACAGAAGGGGCTGAAATCAAAGCGTCCTATGAGGTCACTCGTAATGAATACATTTATATGCATAAATTAAGAGCACAATATTGGTCCATCGAATTTGTCCTCCCAAGAGTGCTAAATTCAAAACTAAAAAAACAATCTTGAATTTAATTTTGTAAAATTGTCGAAAACAAACAGCACCACTTGAAAGTACAGTGGAACCCCGCTTTACGGACACTCTTTTAATACGGACACCCGCTTATTATGGACAGTTTTGTTTGTCCTGACAGCACATATTTTCTCTTATATCAGCCCGCTTAATACGGACACCCGGATAATACAGACACTTTTTCATGTCCCTTTGGTGTCCGTATTAACCGGATTCCACTATTCCACTGTACTGCTCAATAGCTTTCCTTTGAATGATCACACACTACATGGAGGTTTTCATCCACACTGACTCAAAAGGTTCTGGCCCGAGTGGAAGGGTTAATAATACGTTATTTTTGCTTTCGCATTCACAAGTTAAAAACGATGGAGATCGGTCTTCCACTACTTCGCACACTCCTCGCCCAACAAGCTTAGTTAGAGCTACTACATTTTCCAATCAATCTTTATTTACACTTTGCTTAAATTACTAACAAGTAGAATGCCCGGCCAACACAAGCTGTAACTATTACATAACTATAATTATGTATGTGGATCACTAACATGTAACATATTAAAGTTATCATGTTAAGTTAATTTAATGAAAGGCGTACAATCAAGTTTCAACGTTTTACTGATTCTATGGCTTTGAGGCAGATTTTTGTATTAGCTTCGAGGTAGATCTACCCGGGGCCCAGAAGTTTTCTTTCTCGACTTTAAGCCGCGGAGTGGTGCGTTACTGTCACACAACAACAACAACAGACAGACAAAGCGAGTCACCGAGTGGTGAGAGAGGAGCTAGGAGAGGAGCTGGTGAGAGACTGAGCTAGGTTTTCTTCTCTGGCGCTTGCTCTGAGTCACTTCGGTAAAATTCAGTAGAAGAGAGAACACCTCTGGTATCAGGGTAAGGCAGATCATAACATAAAAGCGAACAGTTCAAATAATCTAAATATAAAAACACAGTACAAAATTTCTCATACCAATGTCCAATAATAAATAACTTACAGTTATAATGGTAGAAATTATGAAATTTCACTGGTTATAAAAAAACTGTTTGGTTGCAAAATGTACGATAATGCCACACAAATGACCTCAAACCTGAATGAGACTACATAATCACAGTTTGGGAATTAATATTTGTCAGCCGTCGCCTCATTCCTCGACTCAAGCCAGTCACTGGCATCAAGGGTGAGGCATCTTTCAATGCAAGTCATTTCACAAAAATATACTACTTTATTCAAATCCTAGTCTGAAGTGTCAGCCGCCGCCTGGCCCCTCGTGGGGGTTAGGGTGAGGAGACAGCTGACACTTCAGACTATTCAAATCACTCTAAACAATAATAACTGTCATAATAATTATAATAAATTTGCATGTCTTTAAACATAAATACTATCATTCAAAATACTACTACAGACTGTATTCTACTTAGTAGAATTAAGTTTTGCTATAAACTATATATCTGATAAATCAATTTAAAAAAAGTTTAAACAAGAGAGGCGGCCTAAATAAGCTCGCAAGACATTAGCTTGGAGTTTTATGGTCTCTTGCCACCTAATGATATCATGTAATAATATTATCATTACAATACATGCATATGAACATAGAGGAGTTTTCAATTGAGTGTCGAAAGTAATCCGGAATTGATTAATTTGCTTTACCAGGGCTGCAAATAACAGTCGGTCATCGGAAAATGGCTGACCCAAATTTGCCTGAGTGTCCGATGAAATACCAACTTTGGTTGGATACTAATGTCCGGACAATATTTTTGCCAACGCAAACGCTAACAAGTTTTATTCTAAACGCAAACTACATGTAGTTTACTCTGCGATGACAACGCGTTAAATTAGCAGGTTCGCTTATCAAGCAGTACTGTAAGTACTGTAACATAATGTCTGACCTCATTTTTGTTTTGTCCGACCAAAATGGTGGCTTAGTCGGACACATGTCCTTTCAAGAAAAAAATTATTTGCAGCCCTGCTTTACTAAAACACACTTTGTGTCTGATGCAAAACTAAAACCAATCACAACTTGGTCACACGTGCCATCGGTTATGTATATTTGCTTCAAGTTCACATTGGTTCATTGTGTTGTTTTCGTTTGTTGTGATTGGTCATTGTAATAAATTGCTTTGGTTTCGGTTTTGATACTCAATTGAAAAACGCTTGATCCAATAAATATACTGTATTACTATACTTGCCAACTTTTCCTAAGTCGAATGCGTGTGATTTTCGTATCCATGTTCCGACGACTTCCGAACATTCCCAAAGTTGTTCCGATGATTTCCGTAGGCTGCCGAATGCCGTGGTGCGAAGCTCAAAATCTCGGCGCAATCTTGCCAAGATCACGCTTATCTCAAACGCGACATATAGCGCCGCTCATTGGACTATTTTGGGTGGAAATTGAATCCAATTTTTCACGTTAATGGTTAATGAACAAGTAGTCCGGAATTGTGAGTCAGGCATGTGAAATTGTCCTGTATGCGTGCGATCGATGTTTTCGATCCGCAGGCGTGTGACACACGCACAATGCGTGTGAGTTGGCAAGTATATATTACTCTGGTGGTTCTTGAAAAATATTATTTTGTGTGCAAATCCACCAGGACTGAATAATAATAATTTATTATTATTGACCTCTCATTGGGGCCAATAAGTGATTTAAATCCCCTATTGTAATAGGGGTAATGTTTGTCAGTCACTGACTAATAAAACATATTTTTCAAGGTTTGTAAAATGACAATAACTAATTAAATAATAATTAGAATAATTTCCTGTCTCTTTGTTTTCCAGTTTTTGAAAAAAAACCCTGAATACAACCAGCAGGAAATTGTAGAGTTTGAAAAATGTAACAGGAACATGAAGGAGACTCTCCTTTTTGCAGACTCTCTTTTCATGCACACGACAATAAAATATTAATAACACTTCTAATCAATAATCAGTTGATGGTAACTTGTAAACTACACTATCTACATTTATTATATGTACAAAGTATAAAATGCAGCTCCGACAATTATACTCAGTATATACAGGCTCTTTAAAAGTTCCTGAGGACTGTATTTCTGACCATCGTCAGGTAATAATGTCTGTCCTTTAAATCCGTTACATGTAGTACCAATAATTCATAAACTTGGAGCTGATTTCTAAGTATCCTGAAAAAGGAAAAAAAAAACATTTCTGTCAAAATGTACTGTTTGAGGATGTAGCTAGTATAATTAATCATAGTTAATAGAGGGAAATGGTTATGAAGCCCGGCAAACTTCAAAGGAGCAAACAAAGAGGCCAAGATTTATGTTGGAAGGTCCATGACCGTGCACATCTTTTGTTTTGCGCTCATACACTATGCATGAATTACGTAATCGCAACATTTCTATTGGGTAGTTGCTTGAACACACGTAACCACCTATTGTATTTTGACAGGTTTTGTGCACGGTCAACCCCCAAAATAGCAAACAAAAACATATAACAAAGAACTTTGCCAAGTTTCATAACCATTTCCCTCTATTAACTATGAATTAATGTAGCAGTAAGTAACTGTATTCAGTTTGTCACGAGCGTGGGATTCGACAGGATTCAAATCCATGACCTTCCGTACACCGGTCGGATGCTCTAACCATTGAGCTACGGAGTATCTCATGTGGTGAGTGGTTATATACTAGGTTCATAATATTACTATGTGACACGAGTCCTGCATAATGTTGGGATCAGCAATGTCAAAAGCATCATGCACGTAGTAATAAATGTAAAGATGGTAAATGTTAAGCTAATGGTCACACTGTAGTAAGTACACTGTATTCATTTTGTCACGAGCGTGGAATGTCCTTGGAAAGAAAAAGATCTGAGTCCCCAACGGGATTCAAACCCATGAAGGGGACATGAATGGTCCCTCAAAATTTTCAAGTGCTCGCAAAAATTAGGCTTCTGCTCAAATTGCTCGCAAAATTTTAGAGGGTGCTCGTTTGCTCGTGCTCGCATATTTTTACAAGTGACAGTGCTCGTTGTGACAGTGCTTGTTGTGACAGGGCTCGCAGTGCTTGTGAACATAAATCATTATACCTATTAGAGCGGTTTTCATTTGAGTGTCGTAAAACCAAAACTATGATTGGTTTTGGTTTAGCATTTGATTGGTTGAGTACGTAGGTGGCGCAAGTTTTTTAAACCAATCACAGAACGTAGTAAAGCAAAACCAATTTTGGATTGCTTTCAATACTCAATAGCCCTTTTCACGGTTAACTTCCGATATTTGCATAACAATACACTTGAACATAGAAGCGAGGCAATTTCGGGCACAAGCTGCAAAACATCGTGTTTTTCTTAAACTCCTTGAACTCTTTGGGTATAAAAACAGTTTTAAAATGTAGAAGAACTACAATTCTTTTAGTTTACATTGTTTTTAGAAAAAATTGTAAAAAGACTTTTCTCTATTAATAAAGAGTAGACTCGCATAAGCAACAGGGAGATCGGATTACGATCTTTACGGCAAACTTTAACTAAAATAGTTGCATATTTAGTTCTTCTCCGTTTTAAAACTATTTTTATGCTAACATAGTTTAAGGAGCTCAAGAAAATCACGATGTTTTACAGCTTGTGCCCGAAATTGCCTTGCTTCTATGATAAGCTGTATTGTTATGCAAATATTTCAGGTTAACCGTGAAAAGGGCTATTGAAAATCGCTCTAATCAATGAGAATCAGTTCTACAAAGCCGGATTCAAATAAACGCCGGACCTCAAATAAACGCCAGGACCTCGATTAAATGCCAGCGGCGTTTATATAAAACTCAAGCTGATATAGACCTGGCGTTTATTTGAACCTGGAGTTTAATTGAGATAATACGGTCAGTATCTCTTTTTGCGGTTTGAACAGCTGCCAAATATGCAAATTTCATTCAATGGTAGCAATTATCTACCAGTCTGCATTTTATACCTAATCTGCATTTTATACCCAGTCGGCAGTCTGCATTTTATACTGACCGAAAAATGTATCTGGAAATTTCTATAAACATGAAATTGACATATAACTGTAATTAAACTATCTTTGGAAAAATAGCAGAGAAATATTAGAATTATTTTGTTAAATTACGCTTCAGTGATGCTTCCGTGCCCCGACTACAAGGTTCATAATTAATAAACCTTTCTGTGCAATTTTGCATACAGTATAAGCAAAGTATTACTTTACTTCGCCTGCTAGGATGATCCTAGTGCTAGGATCAACCTCCCACCATGTAAACAGGCCATACCTTGAGCTAATATAGAACTGGCAAATGACATAGCATCTCTGGTGAAATTAACGCCATCATAAAGCCGAAGGCATTATTTTATAATAAGTTTACTTTCATACAATTGACCGGGACAATTGACCTGTATAAAGCCTTCTAAATGGCTAGACGAAAACTTGTAAATGAGATATTTGTATAGTAAACTACACCTTACCATTTTCATCATTTTTTTCTCTCGAGATATAATCGCACAGCACTGACATCCCATACTAAAGAAACCTTGCATTGGTCCCAAACATGTTCGCCATTTCGTGTATCAACGGGAGTCTTGTTTTCCTCTACTTGGTTATGAAGAAATGGATATTTTGGGTTGCTTTTTATTGTGTTGGAGAGTTTCGAGACGTAGACCTTGCTAATAGGAATTGTAGACATATCTGAAAGCGATACAAAATGATGGAGTCAGTTTAACAAGCAGTTCACACTGGTTTACAGTAAAATTCGATCGTTCCTGTTCTCGTGCCCACAGAATAGGGCTTACCTTGACGTTTAGTGGCTTCTTTTCGGACTATTCAAGCCAGGAATTGCACTAGCAGAACAATTACAGCATGCACAATGTGTTGGAGATCACTGCAAACCTCAGCCAATCAGTAGATACGCGTTCACGAAAGAAGAAACGGAGCATATGAAAAAGCTCCATCTTGGATAAAAGAACGACTGATCTGAAGCTGGACATCAAAACAAGCTGACACAGGGCATTCATAAGTACAAAGATCATTTCTCGACAGCCAATCAAAACATCGGATTGCGGTATATTGCACGTGATTACTTCATGGCATTTCGTACTGTACATGTATAAAACACCTGTGTATAAAACAAATGTACGAATTTTTATGAGCATTGCCTGCAAGCAAAGTCAGAATACGCTAATTTATAAGGAGCAGAATTTATCCAAGCCTAACACATGGTAGTATCGAAAACGAAGACCCCTAAAACGAAGACCGAAGACCGAAGACCCACTCGAAAACGAAGACCCACTCGAAAACGAAGACCCACTCGAAAACGAAGACCCACTCGAAAACGAAGACCCACTCGAAAACGAAGACCTACTCGAAAACGAAGACCCACTCGAAAACGAAGACCCACTCGAAAATGAAGGAAACAAATTACGACAGTTCTTTTGACCGCTTTGCTACGCAATGTTTTGGGAATATTGTTGACCAAGGGTTGCGTGACAAAATATTAATGACAGGAAATGAACAATAAGCAGACTGAGAACGTCTTGTCCTGGTTTCGTTGAAATCCTACAAATATGTGAAAGCGAAACTGTACTTTGCGAAAAGAAACGAAACCAAACTGTACTTTTCGAAACGAAACGAAACCAAACTGTACTTTGCGAAATGAAACGAAACCGCGACGAAACCGACTATAAAACAAAACACTAAACAAAATAATAATTAACTAAACAAGACTTGTGCCGCTATTTACGAGTTTTTGTGCGATTTTGCCATTCCCGTCGATGGCAAAACGGCTTTACAAAAAAATCGAGACTTCGAGACATACAGAACCACTCAAAAAACAAGACTGCGAGACCCATGAAATTTTTGGGCCATCACGCGTCACGCAAAAACCCTTTGCCCCCCACCCAGGGTAATACGAGACGCGTGTGAAAGAGGTCACATGCACAGAGGTCACAGAGGTCAGTGCGACCATGTGCTAACCACAGCGGTCATGTTTTTATGTCATTAGCTTATTTGTGCCCAATTTGAAGTTTCATGGCGGGTTTCAAGATACCTTTCATACAGAGCAAATCCTTTACAAAAGGATACTTCGACGGTATTCCGAGAGGGTGGGAGGCGCACGAAGGCGAAAAGAGCGAAAAAAAAAGTTGTAGTGGGGAGGGGTGAGGCGTGAAAAGTGTCATTATTGTGTCACGCAATATCAAACACCAAACTCATCCGTTGCCCAAAACATTGCATAATTTGTTTCTTTTCGTTTTCGAGTAGGTCTTCGTTTTCGAGTGGGTCTTCGTTTTCGAGTAGGTCTTCGTTTTCGAGTGGGTCTTCGTTTTCGAGTAGGTCTTCGTTTTCGAGTGGGTCTTCGTTTTCGAGTGGGTCTTCGGTCTTCGGTCTTCGTTTTAGGGGTCTTCGTTTTCGATACTACCCTCTGCTAGCCTGCGTCGCAGACGGACTTGACCTCCGGTAATGTCCGTCTGCGAATTAGTGCACAAATCCTTGTTCTAGACCCCCAACGACGTACCAGGATCTGAGTCTTTGTCTGTGATTGGCCTTTACATAAAGCTATTGTTCAATTAGCTATGATTTGGTTGTGATTGGCTAAGGGAATTTCACGCGAGCTAGGACCGGAAGCTAGCGGAAAGCGAGCCTAAAAATAGTACAGTATTAAAAAAATCACTGAAGATATAATGCAGCTTTCGAAGCGGTTAGAGAAAGCTCAGTTTGAATTAACGGAGCTACTCCCAGAACAACGAGAAGCGATCAAATCTTTCTTCCAGGGGAAAACGTGTTTATCAATTTATCCACAGGTTTTGTTGATCTTTCAGTGTCTCCCGATTGTCGCAGTCGCTGATATATGATCGAGTGTTATTGTTGTGATTTCACCTTTACGATCGCTGATGGAGGACCAAGTTTATATATTTCAACAATATGGGTATACTGGCGATTGCAATTGCATGCTATCACGGACTTGGAAGACCCAGAAACTATTCAGCAGGTTTTAAATGGGAACTACCTTGTTCGGTTTGCCGAGTGTTTGTTGTCTAAACTAACGCGTTGTAAATATCTGTTTGCCCGACAGGAGACCAAACGTGACCTCTTAAAAATTTGCTAGAGTGAACACAGTCGATGGCTCTATAGCTATTCTACTTCAAAATCCTCCTCACAATACAACATATCTTGCCCGTTTGAAACACTCTTGAAGGGCAAAGTAGGTCAGAAGACCGAATTCAATAGAGAACGGCAAATGTCACGAACTTCGAACAGGCCTGTCACCCCTTTTACCATAGCCAATCAGAATAAAGGGGATTTCGAAAGGCCCTTCCGGTATTTCGTTACGTCGTTGGGGGTCTAGAACAAGGATTTGTGTACTAATTCGCAGACGGACATTACCGGAGGTCAAGTCCGTCTGCGACGCAGGCTACCCTCTGCCGGAGAGCGTAAAAGATTGAAGCCCAAATGTTTACGCAAACCGGAAGTGCGTGACTAGATTGTACAAAACAGAGCTAACAATCACGCGTGTTGTTTTGTTCAGATTGTAATGTTCAGATTACAACCCTTTTGCTCTATTTCTACAATAAGATATTGTGAATTCTCACAATATTTTTTTTCATTCCCTTACTGGCATTTCACAGCTTCGTTCCCAGGGCTTTTTCCCTCCAAATTTACAAGGGAATAGCCCTGGG